TTCCCTTTTTTTTCCAGCGATTAACACATTAGCTTCTGTCAGCGTTCTGTGCTTGTTCTCATGCGATTTCTTCCACTCTGTGCGTGCTACAAGTAAGAAAAAAACCACCAGCTCGCACATTTGGATCACGTCACGGCTAGGAAACCTCATCATATTCCTTTCCAAGTTGCATCTCGTGGCTGTATCTGCACGGAGCAAGCACCACAGTGAGAAAGCAGGTCCCTCCTCTACTGATATGGAGCATCCCATTCAGCCCCAGCTTTCCATTTTCAGTGAGGAGAACCAGAAACAGGCAGGTGGATCCTTCTACTGTTCCTAAAATTTCAATATTGTGATGCAGAAAAAGTGCCGTATCTCTGTTTCTGCGTGTGTGCACAGATCAATTCTTCCCGCTTCGCTCACCCTATCAACATACCGGGCCCTAGGATATTGCATCGATTGGGATAGTGAAATCATTTTCTGCACAACTAATATTAAAAAAAAAAATCTTCACGTGTGTAAAAGAGGATCAGAGCAGTGGCTTCTTGTTTGTCCTGTTCCTGCTGCAGGAACGGGGACTGGTTAAAGTATCACAAAGAAAAAGCTCTGCAGGCGAGGCTGTCAGCATTCCTTAGTCCTTTTGAACATATTTAGATTTTTAGCACCTGTTTCCTAACTTATCCTTGTGGTGCCTCACTACAAATATTAGCCCAATTTTAAAAATGGAAAACAAAGCTTAAGATGTCTTGACTAAAACAGACATATAAGTAATCAGGAATAGGGTACGGGAGGCCAGCTAAGCTGCTTCTCCCACTGCCCAAATGACTGATTCTTACCTTTGAAATTATTCCGGACCCTTTCAAATTGAATGTGAACACATAAGCACAATATATATGGGTTATGTCTGTGAATTTATGGAGCCTGAGTTGTTTAGGCAAACAGACGAAAGGAATTATTAATTTGGTACTCGGAGTAACCGGCTGAACGGCAGCTCCGTGTACGTGTGCTTTAACGACAGATTGGTCCATTAAGCCTCACCTCAGAAGTGACACGAGTTGTTTCAATTATGTTCATTTCACAAAGATAACACGATTATATTGCCTCTGTCAAATCACTTAGCCGGGGGAGTAAGTTGCAGAGAACAGTTATATATAAACAACTGATTTTTCTTTATTTAGTTTTACATATACGGTCCTTAGCTACCCTGTGAAAGCCCATATTTCTCCTACTGCTGAAGTTCATTCCTATTCTTAAAAAATCCCTATGATTTTGTTACGGCTGCCCTTCATCCAGATTCATGGGTGAACAGCAGGATGTTTAAATTCTTCTTGTGCTTCCATCTTTTTTTCTTTTTCCTTCAGTTGTACCGAATTAACCCGGGTCAAACATAAATGGCATCTGGTTGTGGGTTTTAAACAGCGCACGTACCTTTTCACCTTTCAAGCCTGCTTTTCCTTTCAGCCCTGGCAAGCTCTGAAGTCCATTTTTACCCTAAAAAGAAAGAAATATTTTCTAGAATTGGACGTTATCTTTAAACGCAGGATGAACAGGCTGTCTGCTCAGCAGCAGGGGCTGGGCGTAAGGGCGCTGGATTCTAACTCTCATCTGTGCAGCAGAAGGAGGGATGAGACCTACTCCTCCACACAGCTGCTCTCTGGCACAGAAACCGCTTGGGGGGATACGGGAAAAACTTGGGAGGCTCCATTTGGATTTGACAGGGTGACAACAGGACAGCGCAGCGATGATGACGAACACTTTGAAGACTTCCACCAGAACAAATAGCGACACCTGTCTGAAAAGACCTCTTCAGGTTGCTCGTCTTTTGCCATTTACCCAACGAGAAAGAAGAAAGTCTTCATTTATTCCAAAGTTGCAGTAGGTGAATTCCAGGCTAGAATTCTGCCTTTTCCCTAACAACTTTCATGCTATGGGAAAATGGACACTTGGAAGAAATCTACTTTTAATTTTATGCAGAAATGAGAATCGACAGAGAGCAGTGAGATATATTTGTAATGCGCTAGTGCAAACTGCTGCCCTGCGCACAGCAAATCATTGGCCTCTTCCTGCCTTCTACCAAAATCTTTTTTGCCTTGACCTACCCAAAGGTATCCGGCTCCTACCAAGTAGGATGCTTCCCGAGGATGCGCATCTGACGGGGCACATGTAGCACTAGGTAATGCTTCACCCCATTTTCCATTCTAAGCGTCACCAGTGAAATTAATCCCAAATAATCTTTCCACATACGTTCAGTTTATCTACTTGTAACATGCCCATCATCCTCCTATAGAGGCTTGATCACTGGCTGGAAAGAACTCCCGCTGGTTTTTAAGTCAGTGCCATTATAAAGCAGCACTATCTACAGAAAGAAAAAAACAAACAAACAAAAAACAGAAGGTAAATTAATCCTGTTTTTCCTAATGGCATTTTGGGAATCTGGACTGCTGGGATTACAGACTCCACTTCTCAAGTTTTAGGGCTGCACTAGTTATAAAGATGGGCTGTGTAAACTCAACATGGAGAAGAATAGTATGTAAGGCTAAAATTATTTTTTTCTCGTTATTTTTTTTCCTGTAGAGTAACAGGTATCAAGTTTATAGAAAAATGGCAAGCACATGGCCAATATAAGTCTAATTTTATTGCTGAGGGAAGCCCCATGAATCCAATAGTGAAGTTGTCTAGGTATGTGCATGATCGGAACTGCAGGTGGACAAAAGAATATCTACTAAAAATACAGGACAATGGTGCTTTTCACAAGATGTAACAAACTGTTTAGCACAGGTAATAGGGTTGTTTCACAAGGATTTGCTTACCAGGACCAAACAATTGCTTTCAAAGCATTTGTATTACATGCGAAGAGTTTTCCCTATTATTTTGGTCTCAGAGAGTTTTCTTGGAAAATGTTCTGCTTGGAAGTAGTGCGACTTCCATTAACAGAGAAAATGTAAACCTCTTGGCCATAAGCACCCTAACGACACACAACCTGAGGCTGGGCTAAATATCTGCAAAACACTTCTCCCAACCTACCGACACCCACAGGCAACACTCGTGCAGGAGCTGGATAAAGCATCCCACGAATGACTATGGGATTATTTGTTTAATATCTCAAAACATACCAGTTTCATTTGGTGTTCCCTGGCAGGGGCAAGACCAGACGGGGATCCACAGCAGTGGTGCTCGGCCGTTCCAAGAGGAGGAGCAGCCATGGTGGTGATGACAACGTCTGGGTGGGAAGCTCTAGGAGACGGGAAAGGTCCACAAAGTGACAGCGACAGAGAAAGGGAACAAAGAAGTCGGGTAGTAAAGCATCAACAGAGAGGTGCGACAGCAGCTGAGACACCTGTGGGACACGGCAGCTAGGGATTGGGGTTTGTGTGCATTGTTGGGCAGCACCTCACCACGGAGCAAGCACATGTGATCTACCAGCGGCTCTGAGCTGCCCTGTGGATGGGAGTCATCTGGAGGAGAGAGGAGGGACCCATATGGGAAGATGACAGCCGACAAGAGGGTAAAACAGAGGAAAGACAGCAGGAAGGATGAAGCAGAAGGTGCCGCTGAATTGCTGCACAAGAGGCTGGGGGTGAGAGCTGCACCTGGAAATTTAAGAGCTGGGAGCAGGCAACGCGGCAGCGTGCATCTGCGAAGGGTCAGGGGAGCACTTCGTTGTGCCCTGGAGGAGGTCTGGGTCATGGCGTGTCCCCTTTTCTGAAGTTCCTCTCTGCAAAAATCCAGTCTGCCCAGAGCTGGACCGCAGGTACAGCTGGCGGCGGCACACCATGCCTCTGACTCTCTTTGCAGCTGGGAAACCGTGAATTTCTCTTGGAAACCTGCGTCCCCCTCTGTTGGCAACCCGGGGAAGTCATCTGCAGCGCCAGAGCTGCCTTGCACGGGGAGAAAGCGCTTTGCTGCTTGAGCCTCAGTGTGGCCGAATCTCTGATAAAAACACACTCTTGGCATTTTTTTCATTCGGTTAATCAAAATACGTATAAACGAGTACTCGGCGGTACCCCATCTTTACCAGGAGTGCCCTAAAATAAAACATCTTTGTCAGAAAGGTAAGTCAAACACTCACATAGAAGAAACAAAAGAGAAACGCGATTCCCTGCAGCTTGATATGTTGGTGGAATGACCTCTCTAAGAACACTGGTGTGGTCCTTTATATATGTGTGGTCGGTGGCTATTCCCCTTTCTAAAATACACGTATTCCTTCCACAGACAGAAAATACTCACAGCCTGACTACGTTGGCCAAGTTTCCCTGGACGTCCAGCAGGTCCTTGATCCTTTTTCTCCATGTCTTCTGCCCCTGAACTTCCCGGAGATCTTGTGGGCCCATCCTCTTCTTCCTCGCTATCCTGGCCCTGGGTAATTAAAACGTGAAATATGATAAACGTGTGGTTTTCCTGGTTTTTTTTCCTCTCTCTCTTCCTTCTCTCCTGCAACCCCTGGTTTGTTCAATGCAGTCAGAAACCTGTCAGGCAACACAACCCACCCGCCCCGTTCAGCACAGGCACTCTGTATTAGAGATTATTCATGCAAGTGCAAATAAAGTGCTCACTCAGATGGGAAAAAAAGAAAAGAAAAGAAAAAAAAGAGAGAGATCTGGCTACCTAGAGGCAAATGACCATGGTCTAACTTCAGCAAAATTCACATTTTTCTGCTCTTGGGACAAAAAGGTAAGGGATATGATAAACCCATCATACAGACCTCCTCTCGGCTTACTCCTGGCAAAACACCAGCTCCAGAGCCGCCCTCTTCCCTTAAGATTTTCTGTGTGACAGTGGTAGAATCATTGTTGCCTTGTCCAGTTTCTGTGACAGCTGAACCTAAATTTAAAAAACCACCAAAAAACTCACTCGTTAATGAGAGACAGAACAAGGCATAACCCACCCAGCAGTATTTATCAGTGCACAGATGCTGCAAGTTGTATGAAAAAAGAAAATACTTAGATTATGACCAACATACATTCCAAAGATTAACATTAACTCTGAAAATTTTGAAAGGAAGGAAAAAGGAGAAAAGAATAAAATTGTAATGCAAATTCTTATTTTGTGGACAAAGACTGTACAGCATTATCTTTGCCTCAAGCTCTAGTCTAATTGTTGCCTATTTTTCAGCTATATAACATAAAACCCAACACACACGTACAACAGGTACTATCTGAAATATGTACGATATTTAAATAGGAACTTTGTCTTTTAAAGGGGCCACATGGCTTTAGCACCAGTAGCACTCTTTGCAGGGGTTTGACTCAAGAAGCCCCGTTTTTTTTTAGGAGAATGAAAAGGACTTTTCTCCTTTCATTCCCTTTGGCGTTGTAGAGTACCTCAGGCCTGCTTCTTCATTTAATCCGTTTTGTTTAAATTTATTTTAAAATATAAACCATAGTTCTGGGACTGAAACTTGCACATTACAGGTGGGTATATTTATTACAGATGGGTATATTTATTCTCTGCATGTTTATTCTGCATTTATTCTCTGCATGTTTAACAACAAGCATCACCCCCCCCCAAAAAAAAGGAAAAAAAACCCAAAGAGGAAGTGCCTTGTTCTTTAACTGCTTCAGAGGTGTCTTCTGATCGGTGATTTCCAGAGAAATCGTTTTCTTCCAAATAAGACAGTACAGTTGGGGGGGCTTCCACTGGCTCAGCCAACATATCTTCAGGCTGAAAAAAAGCCCACATAAAATCCCAAGGAACTGCTTAGAGAAAAGGCTTATCACATATTTTAAAGCACAAATCAATAGATTCCCTTCCTCGAAGCACAGTGATCAGAACCACCCCCCGTACGAAGCAGAGCAGAAATCCAGATCTTTCCCACTTAATGTGTTTCTAGCACCTGTCATTGCTATATGTCATCATTGCTGCCATCATAAAAACTGAAATTCATTGATGGCCAATATACACACCTTCTTAATTTACAAGTTTTTAATTTGTTTCACCTTCTATTTAATTTTTCTTCTTCCCCGTACATATCTCGTTTCTGCTTATCAGCAGATGTTGCACAAATTTGGTCAAGCCGTCCAGAGGGAGCTGGGCGGGCTGGAGGAATAGATCAAGATGAACATTAGGAAACTTGTCCTGTGAGGACAAGCTGCCTTTTTTGCTGCTTCGCAAGGCCCATTAAATAGAAACATTCTGCAATAGTCCAAAGATTGCTATCCTTTCCTACCACGCGGTACTGAAGTACTTGGCAGAAAAGCAGAAATTAGGATATGCAGCATCCACATTGCCAATGGTCTTGATTCAGAGATTGCGTTTTCAAGCACGACCTTACCCCTGTTAATTCCAGCTCAGCACAGCAATTTACTTCCAAGTGCTGATTTGGAGAGTTTGTTCAGTTATTTTTTCAGAGTAGAAGACGAATAAACACTCTCTCCGAAACATCTGTTGGTGACTGCGCTGATTGTCGTTTGTTTCTCTGTCTCTGTGTTTAACATTTCTAAAGAACGAGCCCATTAAAACTCCGCGGGCAGCCACTCTGGAAGGCATACAAATCCCACGAGCCACTGGCATTGAGATTTTTCTCATTTGGCAGTGGCGTTAAACAATGTCCTGGTCTGCGTGAGGAAAAATATCACCAGCAGGTTGAGGGAGCTGAGTCTTCTGTATTAAGCAATGGTGAGACACCCATCTCTAGAACTTTAGTGTCCAATTCTGGGCATATTGGACCAAGTCCATCAAAGGACGATGTAGATGATTAAGGAGCTAGGGGGTTTGACCTATAAGAGGAAGATAGGAAAGCAAGGACTGCCTCCTATCTGAAGGATTCATACATACTATCTAAAAAAGTAATAGTAAACCAGAAATGTGAAGCAAATAAATAAGTTTACCCTTATGGGAAGATGAGGAGGTGCAAGGACTTCTTGGGCTTCAGGAATACCTTCATGTTCTGGAATGCTGTCATTGCCACTGATGTCCCCTGAAGCCTGCGCAAAACCCAATCATCACAGCAAGTTCACAAAAGTAAGAAGAAAAAAAAATGACCTCCAAGAGGCTGGCTACTTCAATGCAGAAAAAAACCCAACTTTTTTCTTTTTTTTAGTTGGTGAAGCCTCAGTGTCATTATGATGTTAACCCAGGTCAGTACTTACAGCGTCTCATGAAAATGACCCTTCAGAAAAACGAAAGTCATCGTTAATTTTCTCAGAGGTGTTACAGATGAAAGAAAATTACACTTTTTGAAGAATCAGGTTTAGGGTCTGTGTAGTCCAAAAGAGAGTTATCCCCACACAGGTGGCTTTAAGTATGATACTATGCTCCCAGGAAGAAATATGACATTTAGTCTCATGAAAAATCTCTAATGGCAAGTGACTTCGGAATGCCTGAGGTGCTGAGGGTAGACAAAGAAGTGTTTATAAGAAAACTCACTTCTGGATCATCATCCTCACAATGGTCTTCAGCACCGCTCGGGTCAGATTTGATGGTCAGATGTTGAATCGAGCCCTGCGTGGAAGAACAAGAACAGTTCAGGGAAGGAATATTTTGAGTAGCGTGTGTGCAACGTGGGCGGAGGGGTGGGAATTAAACCAGCAAGCCCCCTCAGACTTTGTTCTAGGTGGTGTCCTAGAGTCTGCAGAGCACTGCCTACTCTTTCTAGTGAAGTGCATTGCAGCTCCAAAACCGGCATGTGAAAACCCTTAAAGCCGAGGCAAAGGATGGGACAGAAATACCGGTAAATGATGACATGAGCCAGCTTAAAAATTTTCGAAGTGGGAAGAAAGGGGGTAGATTTTCTGATAACAAATGCTTCAGAGTTACAAATTACATTTCTCAGCCTGACATGCTGAAGGAGCAGCAACAACTTCATTTTTAGCGCTTAAATTCTATTTCTTAGACTTCGGAGACTCTAAGGGCTGTAAGAAACACGTGGGGGATGTTTCCTTGCATGAGGTCACATGGAGTTAGGCAGGACAAGAAGATGAGTATTCAAATCCATCTTACATGACCTGCCTCTTCCTGTTTCGCTGACTGTATATTTTGCTTTTTATTTTGCTTTTGTGTTTCCTGTAGAGAAGACCCTGAAGAAGCTAGAATTTCCGTTTGTTTCAATTGAATTGTTTCGATTTTGAGCAGTTCTTGCCATGCAAGCAGAGCTTGTGGACGAATCAAACATTTAGATGTTCGACCAAAAAGCAACTGTGACATAAGATGCATGAAGCAATAAAGGCACAAGAGTAAGCCGTGACAATTCATAATACTGAAGCAATCACATATTGGCTGAAGTGCTACAGCATACAGAGCAGTGGAAATGCCTTATGAGTGTCATCCACCACGTCACCATAGCCACACATCTCTTGGTGACAACCTCAGCAAGTGACCATCACACACGTGTTTTCCAGGTGGGGTAGCCGAGTGGGCTCATTTTCTGGAATGTTTCTAATTCCTACTTACTAATCAGGCATCACCAATACTCCAGCAGTAGCACGAAGCTTTCTTCCATGTCCCTTTCCACCACTTACTTGGTACTAATCGACATATTTCTGTAATTCCATGTGCTAAGATTATTCAGATGAATGATAAAAGTGCGTTATCCTTGTTGTTTACCAGCTGGGGCTCACAACCTGCCAGCACATCTGAACTTTGGAACAAATATCTTTTTTTCTTTAAAGCAAAGGATCCACTCAGTTTTGCTGCTTCACTAATTTAGGGAAAAAGATATTAACCTCACCAAACATTGTACAAGCCTGAAAGTACAAGGGAAATACAAAAACAAGACAGAAAAAGTGTGGCATTTCACTTTCAGTTTGACAAGAAGTCAATCTCACACATGCAACAACAGCTTTCACGTTTCCATTTGGAAGCTCAGTGGCTGAGAATTGCAGTGAGGATGCAGCAGGAAGGGTGTTTGCACTCAAGCTAAGAAGGCTTTGGAGCCTTGTAGTAGTGGTTTCGGTCCATTCTATTTTTCTGAAGCACCTCATAAGCTTCAAGTACTATATGAATTGTAGAAATACACCTTTATCTTCCAACTATCTTCACCTTTGGTGAGACCGTTCTCATCCTTATATTGAATGTGAAGTAAACATACCTAGCTAGTAAGAGTTTAAATTAATTACTTTCTACTAAGGCATTATTCTCAGAAGTTAAGCAAATGGATACTCTGAAACCCATTCTTCATAAAAAGACCATATAAAGTCATGCAATGTATTTACTTTGCAATTCCTAGTATTTAGACCCAATGTTGATCTAAATATCTAGACCATTAATAAAGTTTTAGGGGTTCTGCGTATTTTAAGCCAGAATTTGTACATAAGCACTGCCTGAACCCTAACCAGGTATAGAAACCACAAGCTGTATAATTTGTACCCTCATATTTGATAGAACCATTATAAGAAGAATTTCTTGGGTATAAAACACGTGGATTTATCAGGCAGTACTTACTGTGAACTTTTCCAATCCCGTGGCTCCCGCATTACCGACAAATATCCCAGAGCCAGGCTCAAACATCAAGGCTCGAGCTGACCTTTGAAACTGAACTCTTTGATATTCTTCACAGTCCATGAACAAAGCGACATCGTTCCCCTGCACAGTCACTGTAAACCTTGTCCACTTGTTAGTCATCACGGGCACTTTAAACGCGGCAGCCTCTCGGGAGATGTGGGAGCCGGGCTCCGTGTAGTACACAATTATTCTTTGGGTGCTGTCGTCAACCGGTGAAAGTCTCATTCCCAGGTACATAGTTTTCTGGAAGGCATCCGTGATTGCAAAGAGCACTCCTCCGTGATCGCTGTTTGGTTTCACGGTGACTACGATAGCGAAGTCTCTGTAGAAAGGCGACGGGATGACGGCGCTTGTCAGTCGCCCGATGTTGGCATCTGGACCAAAGCTGTAAGCTGGAAACCCTCCGTAGCCGGTGACGAAGTAGACGGAAGGAGGAAGAGGAACTCCTATTAACTCCGTGAGGTCGAGATGTCCTTTTGAGCCTCGTTCTGTAAAGTGTGTGAGAAAACAAAACAACAAAAACCCCCCAAGCCCCACATTGCTTATTCTCAGAGGTGCACAGACTATTAAATTTAAATTATTTAAGAAAGGCTTAAAAAACGGCAATGCAGTATGATACTACCAGTAACATACTCCTCATACTTGAGGCCCCAGTTCAGGTTGTGCTTAAACACCTCTAGCTAGGGACACATGTCATTCTTTGTCCTCGGGCTGAGGTTATTCATATAATAAAGGCACTTGTAAATAGCTGGTGAAATTAAGCGCTAACAAGTAGCTCCTGCAACATATATTTGACTTTGGCTGTCCATAAACTACAAAGAAAAGTGCTGAATTGTGCTTCCAGAATGAAAACTGAGCAACATTATGTTTTCTCAAATAAACTGAGATCCTTCATCCTCATATACCAAGAAGACAACAAGAGTTCTCTACAAACAACCTGACAGAGTTTCAGGAAAAAATTACAGTGGATTTGCTTTAGCCCTTGCAGTTATCTGCTTCTAAAAACAGATGCTAAATTTATTTGTGCCCTTATTCTCAGATTTGTCTCCTCAGCTGCGTTGTGTAATGCAACAAATGCTATTCAGAAACCAAAATTCAGTTTTGAAATGAGAGCATTTTCGCTTTGGCAAACACACGGAATTACATATCTCTGCCAAACATGTCCAAAGAGACAAGTCCTTCCTGGCAATGAAGGAACAATGGAACAGATAACACTCAATTTTAACGAGAGCCTTGGGAAGGCATACTCTAGCAGCGTACCAGAAACAGAAATTCGACCAATTTTCTCCTTCTAAGAAGTTAAAACTAGCAAAAAAACCCCCAAACAAATCATTTTTAATGAGGGATTCAGAATCTACACAGAGTTCCACTTGAATCTAAAACCTTCCTTCCTTTTGCAGTCTCCTTTAACCTCACACTTCAGTTTCGCATTCCCCACCACTTAGTTTTAGCAGTAATATTTGTTCAGCTGACATTTAAAGGGTTGCCGCATTTATTTCATCCATCGTGCTTTTAGCTAGAAATGCCTTTTAACACAATTATTCAGTACATCAACTGCCACATTTAGCCAAATTCTGCTCCAGACTAATGAATCTTAACAGGTGCGTTGAAGAGTCGGAAAAACAGGCTCGAGCAGATGTTATTCACTCCGTGCAAGAAGCCAACGATGCTGGAGCTAAAACCAAGGCAGCTGTTTCTAGCTTAGTCAAGGCAGGACTTAGACAGCTCCTGAGGTCCGAGGACGGGAAGTGCTGGCGTTTGAATGAAAATATTACTTTTTCATTTAATTTTCACCAGTTTCATTGCTCTTCCCTGCACCTCAGTGTCTTTCTTGTCAGGAGAGGCCCAAAACTGAACATAGGATGTGAGCTACAGGTCAGGATGCCGCTCCTCCCCGAGCCCGTAGCATTGCCTGGGGTTATTGTGACCCAGTTGCAGGAGCCAGCACTTAGCCTTGTTGAACCTCATACAACCGGCAGGAATATTTCTTCTTCTTGGCTGCCAAAGTATATTTATTTTGTGGTTAACAAGAAATATTTATAGTAGTAACATCAAGCAGGGAAGGATTTACACGTCTACGAAATAACTCGAGTACTGCAGAGGAGGAGGGGGGAAAAGGAAAATATTTTAACACTGTCCCAGATGTGCTGAGTGAAGAAGAAGAGGCTAGCATCATTTCTGAGGTTGGGAAACAAAAAAAAATTGAATCATAAATGTGAATCGCCGTTGGCACAGCTGTCCCCCTGCCCCATTGGGATTGCCCCATGCTCCAGGAGCCCCAGGGAACCTTCATCCTGGGGAAACTCAAACCAGAACATCACGTGTTTCTTAAAGCGGAACAGGAGCCCTCCATGTCTCCTTCTAGTAGGAGTAACCACATGACACCTACAGTCGCTTAACAGGTCCGAGCTGACAAAAACTTCTTCTGTGCATTTTCATTCCCGGACAGCACAAAATATGTTCTAGTTGGCCAATTTGATCTTGAACTCATTCTTTGCCTGATTGGAGAGTTGCCCTTAAGCCTCTTGGAAAGGCGATGAAGCAAACTCTTCCTGGTAGTGCCTGATGGCACAGGAAGGGTCAAGAGCCACAAGCTGCAGTGTCACGAGCTCAGTCTGGGCTTCAGGATGAACTTGTTTGGTAGAGGGTGGAGCTGCTTGCTGAGAGAGGCTGTGGACTCTTTTCCCTGGAGGTTTTCCAGACTTGTCTAAGGCAAATCCATAGTCTTAGTGCTGGCGATCATTCTGCTTTGAAGAGGGGGCTAGATCACATGATCTCTAGGAGTTTGGTGTTAATGACATAGACTTCTTGGCTATCACAATGGTGTAGCAGTGTAGATACTCGGGATAAACGGTTCTCTGGGCCCTCTCAGATTACCCTGATGGAGAGCACAGTAATTTCTCTATTTGGTTTTGGAATATTAAGAACAGTGGAAGTTTAAAACTCAAGACTTTTAGAATTTGACTCTTTTTTTTTTTTAATTCATGCCAACTTGCAGTATTGAGGACGATTGATTCTCAGTAGCTCAGGATTAGCGGCTTTAGCAACAAGCATCCACAAACATTTTCACCTTGGCTGTTACATGAAGAGTTACCCTTTTAATTACTTTCTGCTCTAATTTTTGTCTTCTTAGCTGACTTCAAGCTTTGAGCTGGAGGGGTGCGTGAACTTTCTGACTGAATCAATCTGCCTTTCCCCCGACCTTGAGGGATAGTTTGGGCAAGAAACAAAACTGCATTTTCTCTGTTGCCTGACTGCATTTGGATGACGTTTGCTGTGGGACAGTTGGCAGCCGTGCACAGCAGATGTACGATGGAACCTCATCCCAGGCAAAGTAAAACTGTTCGTCAGCACACAAGGATGCTTCTTGTAGCATCACAGGATGTCTAGAGGTGTGGAAGATTTAGATCATTTGGAATGAGCAGGCATTCCTTTTCTTCAGCGCTGAGGGAAGTTTAGATTGCCTATTAGGAAAAATTTCTTCACCAAAAGGGTTGTCAAGCTCTGGAAGAGGCTGACAAGGGATGTGGTGGAGTCTCCATCCCTGGAGGTATTTGAAAGACATGGAGATGTGGTGCTCAGGGACAGGGGTTAGTGGTGGGCCTGGCAGTGCTGGGTTAATGGTTGGACTGGATGATCTTAAAGATGTTTTCCATCTTAAACAATTCTATGATTCATGTTTCTCTGTGTCCAATGCTGAGACTCAGTAGATCATGATAAGGAACCTGCTCTTCTAGGTGTTGAATCAAATTGCTAGATGTAACCTGATCAGTTTATCTGTAAAAAATGATACCAAGTTGTCCACAGGCATAAGACATCTGGCTGTAGGAGCAACGGTTCAGCTCTGGAAGGTGACAGGGACATTTTCAAGAGAAGGGCTGCATGACCAGGCATCACTGGGCTAAAGGAGATTCTCAAGACCGTACATTCATCCATAATAACCCTGGCTAAAGCACTTCGAAAAAGAGCAGCAAGAGTGGGAAGGAAGGAAGGAAGAAGGAGCATTAGCTGGAAGAGAGGCACAAAGGTGTGCGATGCTGTGCTGATATCTGCGTCAGGAAGAAATTAGGCTGGATGGAACAGAGTCCTGGGTTGGAGGCTTAGGGTAAGCAGGAGCTCATCCGAGGTGCTCATTTGAAAAGGGATTTGGCACAAGGTGGTAGAACAAATCCTTACAGAAAAGTGCAAGCTTGAGCAGGAGCTCTTGCGTGTCACCACTAGGCAGCACCAGCACCTCATGATCCAGGCTGGAGGGGTGGGTTAGGAAAAGAGAACATCGCCTATGGACAGCAAGGTCGGTGTCCGCTACAACATCTAAGCCAGCAGATGGTTTAATTTCCATTATGCTCGTAACAAAACAGATGTGAGTTACCACCCTGCCCTTTTTCTTCCACAGCGACCTTGGAAATCAGACAAAATACGTTAAGTCTGCTGTGTACTTTCATGGGGTGGGGGGGGCAATGGCATTGCTGTTTCTGTTTTCTCTTTCCCTCTCTCTTTTTTTAATCTTGAATTCTAAAGGAGAAAACTCTTGCAAGGCTGTGACCAATACCCTCATTGTCAAGATGTGTATTTCTAAGGTGATGAAGACCACTCTTCTTATTTAAAGTACTGGGAGAGGTGTCTGACAATTTCCTAGATTTAACAGTTGTACGTGCCAGCAGAGAGTCTCTGCCCAAATGTGGAAAAAGAGCCACCTATTTAAAGACACTGAGACAGTCTGGCACACTGACCTGGATATAAATTCTTGTCCCATATAAAGAGATTTAATAAGAAGCCAGGATAGAGAACACTTAATCAGCAGCTCCTGCAGCTGCTCCAGCTGTCTTTGCTAGCCCCCACCTCCACTACAAGGTTCTGTCCTTGGACCAGGGGCATAAGAACAACGTGAGCAGATGGGGATTGAGAGTTCTAACTCACTCTGTGAACATCAGAAGCCTTCACTTAGAAATAATCATAGAGTGGGTTGGAAGGTTTCAAGATGATCTGGTTCCAAGCCCCCTGCCATGGGCAGGGACACCTCCCAGCAAACCAGGTTGGTCAGTCTTACATTGGACATTGGTACTTCTTAGAGCTAAATGACTTTATAGCATGAATGCACCAGTAAAAACGCGGGGGAAAAAAATCCAGCCAACGTAATCCTACTTCTTACACCTTCCTTTTCCCAAGAATCTCATTTCCCAAGAGCTACATTACACTTACATCTTAGCGTAAATCACATATGCTTTTATTGTGCTCATGTTTTTTCATTTCCCCAGTGAATGCACTGAACGGATGAAACAAAATATCTTAAAAATGTCATTTCTGGTACAAAAAGTTCTAAGTTAAAATCCTGGCTGGTGTCCTAAGTGAAAGAGCTTCTTGTTTTAAGCTGAGTCATTAGTATAAACGATCACGTCCCACAGCACACTATTCAGGGCAGCCTGGGGCTGGACAAAGCTTTCACAGTCAGGAAGGGTATAAAGAGGCACAATCTGCGAAAGCACACTCTGCTGTGGCAAATTCAGCCAAGGACCAGGAGAACCAGGTCCACCAACAGCTGGTTTAGATACACTTCTGTCAAAAAACTCCAACCACCATGGCGATTACATCGTATTTTTTCTCTATTTATGACATTAGTTTTCTAAATGCTAACCAACGTCACTTGCCAGAGCTTTGAAACTTAAAAGTCTAAGAAAGCTGCGACCAAAATCAACGTGCTGTTCAAAGGCTACTTTTCCCCTCAGGACAGATTTCTTTGAGCAATAGTCCCCTAACAACAGATTGCAACTACGAAGGAAAACGTAATTTCGTCTTGCCTACAAGGTCAAGTGGAGTTTTGTCAATTTAGTTTAATGTTCTCCTGACACTTTAGACTAAATTTGGATAAAAACCTCTGTAGAGGAGTCTCTCAGCTCTCTGGGAGGAGAACCATCTGCTAGGACCTGCTGTGGCTGGAGGAGGAGTTGGCTGGCTACGTTTTTAATCCTCGCTCCAATGGAAAGAAAATGTGGTCGGCCACCTGAGTAAGAAATTGCTGCAAGCAGCAGAACTGCTGAAGCCTCGTTTTGCCTAGAATTTTGTCTTCTGATTGGGTTCTGCTGGCAGGAAAGGGTGAGCACTCACTAAACCTCTTGCAGCCTTTAACATCTTGCGCAAATTTGTGTGTTTTCCAAACAGTCCCTCTCTTAGTGGGGACACGTGTGACATCTCCCACCTTTACTCTGCTCTCGTTCCAGGAGACTTCTAAGAACTTAATGGCTCTGTCTTTGTCAAATTGGGTGCACTGAAGCTCTGGCTCAGACCCAGGAACTGTTGTACTGCAATTACACTTTCCTTGCGAAATCGGGTTAAACTCAACGCGTCGCTGCAATACCTGCCTACGGCTGTTCTCTTGAGCGTGGATACAGGAGGCTCTTTCTTCAGTGGAGTAACTGCTTTTCCTACCTACAAACCACAGACTTCCCGCTGTGGACCTCCCACACGATCCTGGGCAGCAGCAACCTAAGCAGATCCACCTTCAGCTACGCAACTTCATCAACAAATATTGCGCGAAGCGTCTGCGAAGGGAATTGTTTGTCTCAATTAGGTAGAACATAAAGTTTTCCTTAGAGGGAAAGTTAAATTAACAAAATAAGCCTACATGGATTTAGAACGAGGTGTATTAACGGGATGTTGAATCCTCATATTTCAGACTCTGCACTCCATTCATATAGATGGAGTAAATCAGTTGTAGTCATGAAAAATTCTACAAGCAAGACTCATCATTATTTTTCAATTTAACCCCACATTTTTAACTTTTTATCACTTTTAAGGGTGAAGTACTGGATAATACATTTTCCAAATTGCAAAAGTTAATATTAACAGCTCTACTGTCACGTTTATGTACTGAGGAAATTCTTTAGTGTCTGCAAATTAGTGCCCTCAAGAGCAGATCTCCACTTCTTGTGTACAACGAGGATTAATCAACAGACTATATCTAGAATAAGTGAACTGTCTTTCGGATTTTTTTTTCCAGGATTTGAAGTTGTATGACCAAAAGCAAAAAAAAATGAACTTTTTTTTTCCACACAAAGAATATATTATGTTTTACACGGCCAAAAATAACTTCATTTCCTCTAGAATACGTAGAGAATGGCAGAAGTCTTATTTTTGGTGAATATTACTTTTTTAGTTGACTCAAATATTATTTGATCCAAGAGCCGAAAATAAAACAAAGAGATGAAAGTAGTACACAGCAGTTATTCTGAAGTCTTCATGCTTAATATACAGTTGAAAGTCTTTCCCAGATAAGTCTCAACTGCATGCTGTCCCAAACTTGAAGAATACGGCTGATTTGCATCTGCATCCAATATTCATAACTCCATTTAAAGTGTCTTGGCATGTTGACTTTTGGCTTTTAAAAAGTTAGTTGACAGAAAAAAAAAAAGTTATACACTTGGCTTAAGTTTCAAAGGTTACTTTCTCAAGGCTATTATTGTTGTGATGAAAAGCAAGAAAAGCAATGTCCTTAGAATTTATTGCATTTTTGTTAACGCTCATTTGAACTGAATATTCACAGAGTCAAAAAAAAGAAACCCACATAATAAAAACAACAAGCCATGAGATCGCCGGCATTTTTTGACTTTGCGTATAAGCTTCACTCTTCATTTTCGCTGTCGGAACACTCATTTTTATCCTAAGACGCTGGTTTCACCACTTTAACTGGTGAAAAGCACAGATGAGTGTTGGCAATAGCACAACTATGCTGCATAAAGTTTTAATTATGCCTGTGCTTTGAAGTGCCAGGACTTCAGCAGAAGGCTTCAGGTAGTGGAAATTACAGGCTAAATGCTGAGCTTTCCAAGTTCTCAGTGATGATCCTGATCTCCACTTCCTTCCAGTTGTCTCCTCCCTCTCTCTTATCAGTCTCCGAGAAGTTTATTAAGCTTTTTTTCGTTGCTGTTTTGTTTACCAAACTGTCCTGGTGATTGAATAGCAACATCCATGTACACTTTCCTGAGCATGCACCCACTAGCACGGCTGCTCAGGAATCAGCAGAGAGAACCTATTCTTCTGGCCAAGGTATCCAAGAAAGAAGAATACTCCGCAACTGAGTAGATTACCCTCCTTGCACACGCGTAGGTGTGCATACAACATGGTGGTGAAAGGATAGAACTGCAATTAAAGGTCACATTTTTAGCTTGACTTGTGAGAAACCTACAAGTTGACGCATCTGGATATAGCTTTGCTAAAGTTGTTTATCCTGATGGATCCACTTACTGGAAACTCCACTGCCAAACTGCAACCCATCCCTTGGAGAAAGATCCCTTCACTTCATTTTTCCCGGGTGTCAAGCACATCCTAAGGGTCCTGCCCCCCAAAACCCCAACATGTTCACATTCATCCCCTGGTGTTCAGCAGCATTAGGATGTCTGGTGGCACCCACTGAGCTCTGATTGTTTTACGCGCAGCTTTGTACACAAAATGCAGGAGTAATAAAGAACATGCAAGTAACAGTGGAACCATATTGTAAGAGGTTAAACCTGAAACAGCTAAGAAAACTAAGGGGGAAAAGTTTGGTTTTAAGTTGGTTCCTTGGTTCTCAAAAAGCTCTGCAGTTGTTCAAAAAATTGGGCGGTGTAATTCATTTTCAGATGGGGCGTATTACGGTAGTTTTGCTGCTTCCAGTACAGCTGTGACAATTTTATATGATATAGCAGCTACCCCCAACACCCAAACGTAGAAACATATGGTTGACAATAAAACCGAACTTGTACTCATCAGTTATTTCATCACCCTCTTGTTTAATCATCACCCTCTTGTTTAAATGCTAAATACGTTCCGAGGAAACGTAAATCACAATTTTACATGACCACTGCAGCTGAAAGTTGAAGGTGTAACCGGAACGTTGACCGTTGCAATACAGATATCGAAAGTATTGATGTCCCCACGTGCTCCCCAAGAACTTTTCCATGAAGACTAACTTCCTCGTGCGCCAGGTCAGTTCCCAGCAGACTATCTGGCAGCTCCATCGCTTGCGTTGGAAGAGCACCAAGGAACTAGCTGATAGGGCCCGTGGGGTCCTATGGAAGGGGAGGGTTGTGTTGTTTTAAAGCAAGGAAAATAATCACAGAGCGGTTTTTGGCTTATAGAATGCAACGGCAGGACTTCAGACTCAACAGAGCAAGACATTTTTCTTGGGTCTGACAGGATCTCTCTTTGCAGCTGAGGTTTTATAGCCCTGTTACACGACTGCAGCGCTAAAGTCACATGGGCGCGGATATCTTTGGCTGCACTCTTCATATCTGGTATGCAAACATCTGCAGCGACCTGATGTGACCTAGAAATTCTGATCGGCAAGCAAATAAGGGCAGGATTTTCAAAACCAGGGAGAAGATATCTAGGGTTGTGTCCCGGTGGAGGGGCCTGAGCCAGGCGGAAGGGAACCGATAGAAAGAGATGTGTTCTGCCTCGGAGGGAAAACAGGGCACAAAGGAAACACCAGCAATGCTGCCACCATCTTCATACTCCTGCCTTGCTTTGCAGCTCTTGGTGACTAATAATAACTGCCATTAATTACTTAAAGTAATAGCTACTCAGCTATACAGCTCACGGCAGCAGTCTGTTAATAACAAGCGACCCACTTGAACGGCACCGTAAGGCGTGTCGTTAGGAAAGGATGGGTGCTCTCACCTTTCTCCTTTCTTTTGTGCCTTTTCCTCACCTTCATAAACACTTTTTGAGAAAGTCGTCACCCAGTCCCTTGCTTTGGTCATAGCGACAAAGACTTTGTTCGGTGGCAAAGACTGATTTGTAAGCAAAGGAAGAATGAGTTACAACGAATCAGACAGGCCTTCTTTGTGCACATACGCATTTATGTATATATATATATATATATATTTATATGCACACACATAAATGTTTTCTGCAGGAAACATTGGAGAAAAGAGAGCTTGGCGTCCTTTGAAGCCTCAAATTTCTGTAGCTACTAGTTGGCTGCTTTCTCAAAGAAGTGTCCAACACCTGACACGTAGGACCCTGCTATGATATTCTTATAAACGTGCATAGAGCTCCGGGGGTCCCTTCCAACCTCAGCCGTTCTGTGCTTCTGTGACCAAAATTACAAGAGATGGTCAAGCCGACCTTTACAGCGCCTTCATTCGTTACCTCCGTCCACAACTGATTCTAACAGCATGACAATTTTAAAATAGTTGTGCAAATGCCTTGAAAAACAAGGAGACCAGAAAGTAATCAAGCACAACATTGTGCAGTTAAATTCTTGAGAGACCAAAAAGGTGAAAAGCGTTCCAGATAGGCCATATTAACATATATTAAACATAATTTATAGCTATTAAAAAGTGTAAATTAATAGATTCTAAAGTATTTCTTTTCCCCATTTTTTTCTTCTCTATTCCATCCAAAGTATTTTCCCTACTGAAGAGAGTCACTGACTGACTTCCCATTTGGAAGTCCCGTTTTATTTTCCAAAAACCATGCTGCTAAGGAGAAATAGTCTAAAAACCAAGGACTGAACAGCTCTGGCTGTGCAAACTGCCAGACTGCTCGGGCAGTTATCCATGATAGCAGGAAGATGCACCAAAAGCCTACAAGCCTGTACGCTGCTCTCTTTCCAAGCTGCTGAGATAAATACGTATGTGTACACATGCATATTTATGTACACACCCCCCACACTTCTTTCTTGTTGTTGTTACTTAAATGTAACTTATCTAGCTGTGACTTTATAATGACAAAAATTTTCTTGCCAGTACTATGCAATCCAAAACGCTCAAGTATGACAAATTCATTCAAATTATGCAACCACTCTGGAATCCCCATAAACATTAAAACAGTACGTGGTAACAGATTTATTTTTTTTTTTTCTGAACAAGAGCTGCTCAGTCTAGTCCTGAAGCAGTTGGTGAAGTGTTTGCTAACAGCAGGACCTTATGGTGCTTGATCCAGCTTTGCCTATGTGGCAGCTACATATATTTCAGCCCAAATTTGGATATTTATTGCTTATTTGTTTCCATTAAGACAAGTTTCAAGTAAACACTTGCATTTGTGCTTAGCCCAGTACTGGGACAGAACAAAAATACAAGCCTAATTTGTCAACACCTTTGCTGCACCCAAATAAAACAAGCACTAAGGAGATGTGGAGCACTTGAAGTAGGAATGGTTGTGGTTTATTCTCTTGAAGAAAAACAAATAATGGACAGAAGGGAGAGGAATAATATGCCGAAAAGCAAGGAAAAAAAGCACAAGCCCTCCACAGACACCTGGCAAAATAACATACTTCCCTTTGGAAATGAAAATTTGTTTTACTGATGGGTCATTAACTGCTAACGGGGCTGTAACATTTCCTTACCATAGCCACTAATGAAATGAAGTAACGGTGCCAATTTCGAGTGAAAAGGAGACTTCATATAGGCCAGAGGAAAGTTATTTCAACAGAGATTGCAGATGCCTTGTGAACTCTGATTATGTTCATGCACCCATTTCGCGTTTGGTTTACAACAGTTTTCTTAACTGGCCTCTTTTAATGCATGAAAACCACACAACAGAATTGTTATGATACACGAGTAATTCTTTTAAGAGGTGCACTGATGCACGTCATCTCCTTGCAAAATAAAAGCATGAAACCATGCCCAATATCTTTGGATTATAATTCTGGAATAGTTTAACAATACAACAAATTTAAGTTTGGGGTTTTCTGGAACTGGATGAAAATATCATCGCCAGGAAACATTTTCTAATTGACTTTGTACAGACTGCCTGTACAGCCTGCCAGGAATTGTTTTTCTCCTCACTGGGACTATTAAGCCAATACGGTAGAACTGAGTGGAAATTTGTGTATTCCAGGACTGCCCAGTTCTAGTACTTTCATCTGGATCGGATGTGGGCATAGAGCAAAATTCCATCCGAGCCAGAGAAACATCCTGCCCAATTCATATCACATAAATACTTTTTTATGGCTGGATAATGCACAGATGAGCTGCTCATGAACTTGGAATCACAGGGTTTTGGTGGTTCATAACTACCGATGCAGAATACATTTCTGGAGCATTCTTAAAGCATTTGAGAAAAAAAAACAACAAACAAAATCAGACAAAAACTATTAAAAAAATCTTTGTTGTTGTTCAGAACGTCTGAAGTATGGTCCCAGAACTTTCTGTGATGATCTCAGCCATTTATTTAAGTTAATGTGTCCATAATTCATACAGCTCTTGGAAAACAGACTTATTCTACTTCAGAAGATATTGATCACACTATTATCCTCCTTTATCGCAATATAAAAAAGTTCTTGCATCCATCTAAACCAAGATATGCTAATCGCTATTCAACGATGCAACTGAACAGATTGGATTTGGACACTTTTAAAGCCAGTTTGGTGACCTTCCTTTAGTCCACAATCTCCTACAGATAGTCTGTCACAGAAAGTCTGAGAAAATTACCTACTACCGACTCCAGGCATAAACTCTCCAGACTGACTCCACTTGTATGTGTCAAGGTCTATCTATCAGTGAAGACTTCCTAGTCTTTAAAGACTTTAGTTGTTGAGTTTTTTCTATGATGGAAAATTAATTCAGTAAGAAAAAGATGTTTCCTAAGCATCCTGAAAAAGAAAAGTGGAATATACTGGAAGCAATTGCCTCTTTCTTTAGGCCCTCAGTGTTTTCTGTATAGGGGCTTAGTTAAAAAAAAAAAAAGTAATGCCAGATATGTATATTTGTTTATTTCCAAACCATACTTTGATATTACTTCACAGCCTGTTTGCTCAATATCATAAATATCTTTAATGCCCACAGGCCTAGTGGAATTAGAAACCCTTCAGCTCAACCAGAGCATTGGGTCCCGACTGCAGATATTATTCTGCTTGGCTGTCAGACTTTCAGTCTATTCTTTCAGTTTGTTTTCTCTTGAAACCCGAGATGTAAGCACATCCGCAGATGATTTATACATTACGCATGTTACTCCATCATTTATATATTGATGTACTAGGAATATTTCCAGAGCTCACCCTCTTCAGTGAACTAAACACCCCCCACTACAGAAAAGGAACAATGCTTTACAGAATGCAGGTATTTTCAACTTTTGAAAATTTAGGAAAGGTAAATTGAAACTTCATTTGAAAACGTTTCAATTTTTTCTACTTAATTTCCAAGGGAATCCTAAGCTGAGAAAGGAAGCAGATTAATTGTGTGCCTAAACACGAGCCTTCTCCACTTTTTTGTTCACGTCTCTGTACTTTCATCACACCCTTCTGACAGTCAGGCTCCTGACAACAAGTTTTGAAATTCCCTTCTAAGTCTTCAGTTAGCAGGTGAAAATGAATGGCAATTTGTTCTTTAGTTCCTGAGTCAAACTCACTTATGACAAAATATGGTTTAACTCTCAAAACAAAGCCCAGCAAAACATCATCTGCTAAATGTATCATCTAAATACATCACTCGTATCTAAAATATCGTTATAAATTCAAAAGTTGGGGTTTTTTTAAGCACATACTGCTTGACTGTTTTCTTTACATAGGGTCCTCCAGTGCCCACCTTTCTCTTTGAACGGTTCCTACGTTGCATAGGAATTTCTTCCATTCCATACGTTGATCAATGGAGTTACTGTCTGAATTACAGCAGTCTGGGTTCAGTTTGTGAAAGATGTTTTTCTAGGTGCAGATCTTCAAAAAAATTAGCCACTGCCGCGTTTTAACATTTTTTTGGTGCAGCTCCACCTCATTCGTCCGCAGCATGGTAAGGGTTATAAGAGGCCACGAGTAGCAAAACTGTTCAGTTTAGAATCGCATTTAATAACTCTCACATTTTAAGCCTGGATTTTGCAAACTGTATTAAGAATGGAGGGCAGTCAGAATTCTGTGCTTATTTAATATACAGGCAAGCATTTCACATTATTTTCTAATGCCAGTGGACAATGTAGGAACAACTGATTAAAGCAAAACTGAAAAGTAGCTCCTTAAAACAGTTACTTCATTTACATATCTAAAAGTGCAAGTCTACTTTTCATTCCTTTCTCCTCAATTCTTGCACCAGAACTACTGAAAATAATACAACTAGCTAGAAGCTCTTGCCTCTTCCTTGGCCACAGAACACAAAGTTTTCTAACTACGGTGGAAAAGAAACACGGGAGGTGCCTCACACTCCTGGAGCGCAATGAAAATCCCTTACCTTAATTTTATGGTAAATATCAATACTACAAACACCTAGATGTTCATCCAGCTTTGCTCACCGCGCATTTTCCATCCTCCTAATTTTTACTGGTGCGATCCTGGGGCGTTTGGAAGAACTGCTTCCCAAGTTCTGCTTCTAGCAGCTGTAGAAGATGTTGGCCATTTCCGAGCCCCTTCTCAAGATGCTGCCAGGCTGCAGGATGGGTTTTTTTCAGATTTTGGTTCAGAACAGTGCTTAAAGATCTGCCTTCTGGGACATGTCACCCCACCGATGCCAATGCTTGTGTTTCTAAAAGCAGGGAGGCGCTGACATACCCTCCTGAGCTGTGGCTCTGCTACCTTCTCACTCACAATTATCTCTTTATTCGCAAAGTAACGTGAAATTTCCAAAACAGATCCCTGGCAATCAAAACTAATGGTGTACTTAAAAGGCTGAACATCTTGACGCTTTTAAGAAATTGATATTCTTACTGTTTTACAGCGATACTCTTCTTGTTCCTACCCACAAGCATTTTCATCTTCTAGGTTCACGTTGAAGTCACATCTCCTTGAAACTTCACATAGCAAAAGAATCCAGCACAGTCTCATTACAGTAAA